TCATTTAATCTTCTTTTAACTATCACCATCCCGCAACATTTATATTGTTTTACTTCACTGTTTAGTGAACTGGTTAAGAATTAAGTGACCAGTCAGTTGTGAAACCAAAGCCTGATAAACATTGTTCGGCCGTTACATGATTAGCTCTGCTGCACTGGTATTGTAAAAGAAAGACTGTAGAAAAAAAAGGAGGAATCAAGCTGGCTTTCACAATGCCCCTCCAGCATCCCCTTTGCTTGTCAAAATTAATTTATCAGCATTGCAGTTGGCTGGTTTGACTTGACTTTAGTACAGATGCTGAAGTTTCAGGGCAAACACTTCTGCTTAGCGGTTTTATTGCACTGTGTTTGCGAGTTCATAAAACATTCTCTGCACAAACCCCATTTCAGTTTTTGAATACAAGGACAAGTTAGATGTGGGTTCTACTTGAGACTGTAAAAAATGTGACAAGCTTGTTAATAATATGCTGATATAGGTAGGACTTTGGCTTATGTCCATTGTCCACCTTCGGCATGGAAGAATTCCTGGAGCAAAAAAAAAAAATGGCAAGTCACAAAGAGAGATGTAAGGTTTAATAAAGTCCTTCATAATCAATCTATAGTTTAATTTTGTGCTTGTTGTGTTAATCAAGATGCACAAGTATGATGTAAGTTATTAACCACAGTGGTTTGAATTACCTAAGAAACAAAAGGCACTAAATAAAACATAATGAATGCTAAATACAAAATTAGATACATAATTTAAATTGTAATTTGTAGGGGAAAAAAGAAATCAATTACCTCTAGGTGAACTATACACAGATGTTTGCATTTCTCTTTTTGAAAAAAATGCTGTTTGTTTCACCAAGTTCTTTTAGCAGAATGAGAGGGACTGCATTTATTATAATAGTCTGGAGCAATCTCAGAGTTGTAGTGAGAATAGCTGAAGAAATTGCAACTCTTTAGAAAAGGATAAGTCTTAGGGGTTGATTTACTAAAGACAAATAGGCTGTTCACTTTGCAAGTTAATTTTCCCTCTGCAATGGAATTTTCCTTTAGCTTAATTAATAAGGTGAAGCCAAGTCCTGACTCCCATTATCCAATCATGTGCCAGCAAAAATACTGCTTTTTAAATGTATGATTGGATATTCTTTGCAATGTGAATTTTCATCACATTCACTAAGCTAAGGGGAATATTTTGTTGCAAAATGAACAGCCTATTTGCCTTTTTTAAATCAACCCCTCAGAAAGCATCTCACTAAAAATCAAAGTCCTTTTGCAGGGGATGCCTAAAATTTGATTTGTATCTATGTTCAAACATCTGGGGAAGGCAGTGAGCCAATCACACAAAACAGGAAATTAGATTGTTTATCAACCAGGGTGATTATATAAGCTATCAAGTGTCTCAAAATGTAACAGCCCATGTGCTAGTGACAGATGAAACAAATATATCTTCCTTGTACAATGTATGAAACCGGCTACCATACAAACAGGCTACAGTCAGCAGGCCCTGTCAGCAGGGATTTCCATCACTGTAGTCTATTGGCACGCTAACCTGGCTTGACAATGCATACATGTGTTTGTATGAGATGGCTATATTTCTAAGTGATGGAACAACTGTGTGGATGGAAACCATACAAGGAAAACCTGACTCTTTACCTCTGCTGCCTAGAGGCACAGGCCTACCATTACTAATGGTAAATCCAGAACTGCCTGGCAGCAGCTGTCTCTTAGTTCATAGTGTCAACAATGCTGTCTATTCACCTTACCCTCTGTCATTCCCTTTCCTTTTGCCTTTTGTCCTTTCTAGTATTAGAGAGTTCTCTGTTGAGATCTACCTTGTGTGACCAAAATATTAGAGTTTTTTTTTGTTTCATTGACATCCTATTACAATTTAGTTCTCTCTTCCTTCAGTTTGACGGATTGTTCTTCTTTCAGGCTAAGACACTGTGATATTATTTAATTCTACAGTTCAAAAGTTTTGATTCTCCATTGTTCAGCCTTTGTAAAATTTCAACTCTGCCTATAGAAACTTTTGTTGACAATGTGATTATATCTTTGCTACCTTGTCCTGACATGCCACTGCTTTCCTCCCACAAAACAACCAAGAATTTCTAAACCTAACAACAAAAATGTCATATACTGCAGCTTACCAGTCCTTAGATATGACATTTGCATTAGTTTTCTTTTTTATATTGTTTTCCTTTATTTTCACCTAGTGATCCTGTCTGTGACACACTGTCCGAGGGTGACCACGTTCAATAATCTACTTCATTATATCTATGGAGGAGCAGCAATGTCACCCTAAGACACAATGGGGTTGATTTACTAACCTTATAAACACACCATGAACGTGTATACACCTCTGTAGTGTGTTCCCTCCCAGCATGATCTATGGGAGGAATTGAAACACCTTTGTAGTGTGTACACACCCAGCAGGTGTGTTGTGCAAAGCCCTGCAATGAATTGCAAGGTAATGTGGTGTAAATTAGCTCTATGTTATGTTGCTTGCGTTGATGAATGCAGGAATGTAAAGGCATGAGCTAACCATTTTTGTCTAAACTGTGAAGCAGCATTATATATGCATCATGTGCATGATTTTTCCATATATGGCATTAGTGGAAATATGCTTTTAGAGACTTTTTGGTTGATAAATACGTTTTGCTGTGTGAAAATCACACACACCTGGTGTGTGCGTGTGTTTAGGTTAGTAAATCACCCCCGATGTGTTTGGACTGCAGAACACCTTTCCCTCTCATCTTTGTAATATAGGGTTTGTTTTACTGTGAGAGTAGTGAGATTGTCGAATTCCCCTCCATGGGCAGTGGTGTCTGCTGATAGCGTAAATAAATTCAAAGAATCTTCTTGATGAGTTTCTTCTTTCACTTAATTTACAGGGATATGGGAAGTGTTAGAGCAAGATAAATACAAATACACAATCACATACACAAATACACACATACACACATACACACATTGAACTGGATATACCGATGTCTTTATTCAACCTTACCTACGATGTTACTATGTAATTTTCAGCCTACTGGCTTGCTAAGTCAGGATTAGAAGGGCAAATGTGTTGCAGTAATATTTCACTAATTCCATAAGTATCCATTTATAGATACAGTCACAATTTTCAAATTAGCAAAAGCTGTTTATTTGTTTATTCTTTTACTTTTGAAATATGATTAACTTAATCAATGCCTTTGCAGAATTTAGAAGAGAAGATTAAATGCTTCTGGAAAATAAACAGTTGCCAATATCTTTATAAATGTATGCTAAGTACAAATTTATTGAAGATATTTAACATCCTTTAAGGCTATGTCAAGTCTTTACATGTTTGTTTATTAAATAAAGTTATGTGAAGCCACAAATTTTTTTTTTCTGAAATTTGCATTGATATAGATAAGACCAGCAGCTTATTTACTTATTCTGATTAAATAAAATCTGTAAGCATGCATTCAGAATAGATCTTTACATTACCATTTATTAAAGAATAGCTAAATCACTGCAGTGACTATTAATCCTACATCTCTGGAGATTTTTCGTCCACCTAGAGAAGTTTGTGCATACCTGCAGCAGCCTCCAAAAGGCTTTCACTTACAGCCAAATGCCATGTTCTGACAAGCAAAGTTCCAACACTTTCGGGCAGTATCTGAGATTTCTGCCACCTCTTGCTCTCACACATTGCCATTGATCAATTACTTTGATGGTTTATCTCATTGGGTAATTGGAATGAGCAGTAGTAAGGAAGGGGCAGGCAAGCATTGTCACTATCTAGATGCAATTGAACTTTACCGGTGGGAATGCACAGGCATTTAACCTTAACTATAGGCATTCTACAGGAGGTGCACACACTTTATACCTGCATCAGTTTTTTCTTTTAAATCGTATTTCCAGCTACATTTGAGAAAACTCTTCTACATGTTTGCTATATGTTCCAATCCAAACAGCATACCTAAAAATAGTTTTTAAAAAATGATTTCTTACCTGTTTAGCTGCATCTTTGGAACATGATTATATATAGGATTCTACAGACAGCTTCTTTTGGTTAAATCGAATCTGAAGCAGTTGCCCATAGTAACTAATCAGCTTCTCTTTTTAGTTTGTTGAGTTGAGCTTTGAAAATGAAAGATAGAATCTGATTAGGTGCTATGGGCAATTTCTCCAGATTCTGTCAGCTCCACTTTTGATAAATGCCCCTTAATGAGTTCTGAGCAAGATGTTTCAGTCCTGGAGTTTGCAGAAGCATCGCTGAAAAAAGATAAGCTGCAAATTTTGAATATTTCTTTTACTTTATGCTATGTGTAGAACATGTAACATATGTAAAGCAGGTGTTATCCCAATGTAGCTGCAAAAGTGGAAATACACTTTAAGGTTGTAAGAGAACCCTAAACCATTCTTAACCTTTAAAGCCAACATTACTGCTTACTGTTCATGAGCAGGTACCATTTGGTGTCTGCTATATTCCTCTTTGTGCCTTTGAACTAGTTTTACTTTGCAGGGCTGCTATCCCTCTGTTTATTGAAGGCACTTTGGTCATCAGTAATTCATTCCTATTGGGCAGGGTACAGGCAGCTGGGCAGGACACAGAAAAATTTAAAGAGGCTTTCTAGCAAATAAAGGTCATTGCAGGGAAATTGTGGTGCCTGTTTGTAGGCAAGAATTTTAAGTTAAGGTGATAAAAATTGCTGACAAGTAAAATTATTAATGAAAATGAAAACGAAAGGCAGACTAATTAATGGTTGCTGTCTAATTGATTGTTGTGGGTTACTGAATACTAGTAATCATTGGACTGTGTTATTACATTTGTAAACAACTGTAACATGCTTTATATACCAATGTTATAAAACCTAAAACCTAAAGAAGAGATGTCTGATGTCTAAAAAGCTTTTAAGAGCGATAGGTGACATCAGTTTGAAATCCTTTTGGCCTAATGCAATCAATCTTGCTTAAATTAATATTCGGTATAAGCCCGTTTCATTTGCAACTTTGGCTAATTTTCTGCTCTCATCTTTTTAGCCCTGTCTTTGATCACTGACATCCGAGCGGACAAAGTGGATCAAAAAAGCATCACGTTATCATGGCAGGAGCCAGCTTTCCCATTCATCAACAACACAGAGTATGAGATCAAGTACTATGAAAAGGTATTTTGAGCTTTTCTTATTTCCAGTGCCATTACTGCCCACACAGACTATCTGCTAATATAACATAAAAGAAAATATTTTCTCTGCAAGTTTAGAGGCTTGCAAGAATGTAGGTGATTGCAAATATAAATCCTTGCTCATAAAATACACTGAAAGCTTTCACTCTAGCTGCTTTTTATTTCATTTATAATGTTTGGCGAAATAACTGTATTTTTTTGTACTTTGTCCCATTTTTAAGCTAATTATTAACTGTTTTGCCTCCAATTTATAACTATTTGTCATACTTGAATGTGAAGTTGGAGTTCAGTGTTAAAGTGTATGGAACATCATAGCCCAAACATTTTCTTTTAAGTTTCTGGCATAGTGGGTATGGGATAGGTTAGGTCCTCTGTAAGTGTTTTTAACCCTATCGTGACCAGTGACGTATATACTATGTCATTGGCAGTGGGTAAATTTAAACAGAGACATTTTGTACTTTGTCCCATTTTGAAGCTAATTATCAACTGTTTTGCCTCCAATTTATAACTATTTGTCATACTTGAATGTGAAGTTGGAGTTCAGTGTTAAAGTGTATGGAACATCATAGCCCAAACATTTTCTTTTAAGTTTCTGGCATAGTGGGTATGGGATAGGTTAGGTCCTCTGTAAGTGTTTTTAACCCTATCGTGACCAGTGACGTACATACTATGTAATTGGCAGTGGGTAAATTTAAACAGAGACATTGTTGCAATTGTAAAGCCGGCTAGGTGATACTAGGGGTCTTTTGGTCCCCCAGTGTCACCTTAAAGAAGACCTGTCACCACCAAGATGCCATCACAAGGGAGGCTTGTAAGCCCCCCTTTGTGATAGCACTTAAAGTAAAGTTTTTAAAAAGTTTTTTTTTAAACATAGCATAAAATAAATGTAAAAGTAATAAATTAATATGGCTGATCCTTCGGCTGGCTTTGTGAATAACCCCCTAAAGGTCTGGTTTGATAAAGAGTTGCGATAACATGCAACATAACAATTTCCAACTTTCACCATTTTTTTTCCACAGGGTGTTGGCTTTCAGAAAATATATAAGGTTTTGGGGGTTTTAAGTAATTTTCAGGCCTAAAATGTGGATTATATTATGTATGAAATTTTTTTTTAAAAAGGCCTTGGCAGCGAAAGGGTCCTTATGGGGTCGTGTCAGGGTCCCCGCTTTGGATTTCCACACATACCCTGTAGTGATCATTAGGGCATTCTTATTTGATTAATTTCCTGTTTCTTCTCTAGAGTAAACTCTTATATTAACATGGAAAAACAATTAAAAAACCAATGATGCAGGCTTGAAACAAATTGCAATGATTTCTTTATGATTAAGATGCAGGATATGCTTTTAATTCCCAGGGGCTGCCATGGAAACCAAAAATGTTCATTTACAGTGCTGAATTGCTTTATGAATCAAAGTATATTATGCTGCCATGCAAATAATAATAAAACATCCACCAACAACTATAATGAATGGCCAAAAGTTAAATTCAAATGATAACAATGCTTTTCAATCAAGTGCTGTGTAAAATGCCCCAGACCAAATGCTATATCCATGCAGTTTCATGCACTTTTATGTAGAGTTTATAAAGAAATATAAAATACTGACAAATATGTTACAGTATATTAATAATTCAAACTGTTACACTCTGTAGGTTTACTGGTCATTACATTATTGCTGGAAGAAAATGTCATATTCAGTAAACTACTGAACTGAACAGATGGAATAGACTTCAGATACTACTAACATTATATACTGTGGATTTGTTTGTTTCTCCATTCCTAAAAATCTACAAGAAAATAGCTAGTGGCAAAGATCTCTTATAATTCAAACAGGGTCAATTTATTCAGGTAGCATTGAGCAGATATACAATGTGTCATGGCAACTGATGAAGGGTAATGGTTTTATTAAAAAAGCACTGCTTTAGATGCCTTGACCTCTGGCCCTAACTATACCTTTGACTAATTTTCATACTTGATCCCCCCAACCTGAAACATAATGAACCAAAATAGACACGGGACCCTAATCTTTAAACCAGGGGCGCCCCAAGGTCAGGTGTCACCTTGTCTCCAGACCGGGTGACACCCCACTGTGTCGTCATCGTGCATGCACGTGATGTCATTGCGCATGCACGGCCATCTGATTGACGCCTGCTGGCAGCCATATTGGTTATGGACGCCGGCAGAGAGAGTAGGGGACTTTCAACAGGCTGGATGAGGTATGCCATCGGGTCCACTCCTCTCTCCTGACACTGTCAGGCTCTTGGTCCATGACCGAGTGCCCGACTTTTTAGAGGGGGTGACACCAAAATGACAGTCATTTTGGTTTCACTCCTGCAATGGTGTCACCTGGGTGCGGGCCACACCCCCCCTTGTGACGCCACTGCTTTAAACTGAACCTAACACTCAACTCCATAAATCCTAACTCTTATCTGACATCTAGGGGGTGATTTACTAACCTAAACACACGCACGCACCAGGTGCGTTTGATTTTTACACAGCAAAGCGTATTTATCAACCAAAAAGTCTCTATAAGCATGTTTCCACTAATGCCATATATGGAAAAATCATGCATATGATGCATATATAATGCTGCTTCACAGTTTAGACAAAAATGGTTAGCTCATGCATTTAAATTGCTGCATTCATCAACGCAAGCAACACAATGTAGAGCTAATTTACACAACATCACCTTGCAATTCAGGGCAGGGCTTTGCACAACACACCTGCTGGGTGTGTACACACTACAAAGGTGTTTAGATTCCACCCATAGATCATGCTGGGAGGGAACACACTACAGAGGTGTATACACGTTCGTGGTGTGTTTATAAGGTTAGTAAATCAACCCTCTAGTATTTTCCAGAAGAAAGCAAAACAGTCTACATACTACCTTAATTATGATGGAAAGGAAAGCTATAAAAGGGTATTTTATGTCCAATAACATGTCTAGCTCAGCCATTTGTGCCAAACTAGTTCAGAGAGGCATGGTAGAATCTTCTCATCTTGTCGGCAGGGCCGGAAGACAGCAGCAATTGGAACAGATTTTCTAACCTAAAGCCAGTACTCCTTAAACAATATAGGGTTAATTTATAAAATGTTGTCAGAGCTGTTCGTTCTGCAAAAATCTAACTTTTACATTCACACCTCATTCTGGCCACGAGATTGAGCCAAGGAGCATTTGCATTTCCTATGCTCTTCAGCTCCATGGAGTGGCCATAATGCCACCTCATGTGTAAAAAAAGAGGTCAAAGGGAACAAAGCGCCACCTCCGTGTAAAAAATAGTTTATTAAAATAAATAAAACAAGGGATATATGTACTCACAAGCAAACGTTTTCATCACGCTTTAAAAACAAACAAGAGGCCACACTGTCTGTTAACCCAACATGGTATCACCCCGACTATGTAAAACGGTAGCCTCCGGTCACATCACCGTCCACCGGCCGCAGTCAGCCAAGATTGACACATTTCACGGGCAAGCCCCCTTCATCTGAATCATAGTCGGGGCGATACCATGTTGGGTTAACTTTTGTTTTCTATGTTCATGATGAAAGCCCCAGAGCCTTGGATGAGCACCCTCTCAAGTCTGTGTGAAAAACTGTGATAAACTGTTGAAAGCTTTGATTATGCAACATCAAGTGGATCGTTCAGCTGGCAGCCATTAGCGCCAAGAGTTAAAGAAAACTGTTTGTCTAAAAAAAAAGAGGTGTTAGTAGCAATATTTGAGGCAAATGTTTGTGGAAGCACACTGCCCCGTCATTGCCCCTCTGTATAGTGAATCCCTAATTTGTGTATGCCCCAGGATGAGAGCTTTATTAGATTAGGGACTACACTATACGGAATGGCCTTCAAGGGGTAGTGTGGCTTCCAAATAGATTTTCTGCAAATATATGCTACTAACTCCTCTGTTTTTAATACATAGTGTGACATTTATTAAGCAGGTTAGTGACATAATTAGTCCCAAATCAGACTGCCACCTATTCAGCAAAGTCTCTGCATCTGTTTTCCTGGGTAGGCAACTGCAACAGTTTGCAAAGTAATAAGACAGATTAATTACTGAAGATGGGACAGGTTTTCACTGTAACCCTGTAACCAGTCACATAATTAAGAAGTGGTTGGGGTCAATTTCTATTCTGTTGCAGTGCCACTTTAGAGAAACTGAAAAGGAAATGTATGAATCATGCTATAGCCTTGTAAAAAATATGTCTCACAATTTGTCTCACTGTCTCTGTTTAGCATTGTTTTCTTCATGAGGTGAGAATGTGTCAGTTCTCGGGCAAATTACGCACATTCCAAAACGTTTTTACTATTTACTATTTACTATTCATTTACTGATATTTGTTTGAGTCATAGATTCTTTTATTGTTTTTTTGTGTTGCTCATTGCTGTAGCTCAGCACATTTAGTTATTCAACTAACAGATATGCACTCATATATCAAAAGGCAAAACTCTGTCAAACCTACCTATGCATGTCTGTGGCCTAGAAGGGGTCAGGAAGCCTAAGTTCTAGGGCCATATGTAGTAAACGGAGTAACTTATTTACATTGTGCTGAGTCAAGTTTAAATGCAAATACTTAGAATGGAAATAAGGCTTGGCTTCTAGCCACTCCTGTTATAGTTGATCTCCTTTGAAATTCCTAGAGTGTGTAGAGACATTTCAAGTCATGTCTTGCAGTGAAATTTGGAATCCTATCAGCACAACATGATTACATTAAGACAGAAACACGGGCTCTCAAAATGAATACGTCCTTTAGTTATGCAGAACAATAAACTAATTAGCTGTGACAAGCTGTAGCTAAATCAATACTGAACCTTTCCTATTATGTATAATTGTATTTCCAAGGCATAACTGCATATCCAATTTGAGTTGAACAAATCAAATATCGTAACTAAAGGTCTAATCATGGTGGATTATTTAGAAAATGAGATGGCCTTAATTTGCGAAAGGAAAATTGCACTGCCAACCGTTCAGAGGATCATGCATGTAGAT